AATTGAGCATTAAGACCTGCAGTGTGAACGTAGCCTAATAGTCTGAGGAACTCGAGCTGTCAAAGGCAGCTTTAGGTTGGCTACAACGCAATGAAGAAGTCTTTGAACTGCTCCTGTGTGCTGTGTGACTGACCTATAGTTGAAATCCTTGTCTTTGCCATCCAGAAAACGCTGGTGCATCTGACTGATGAACTCCTCTCTGAGAAGAGCCTTCTCTTCTGGCGTCGGCTCCCATTCCTTCTGCTGGTCTCTGTCATCTACAGCATGAAACACAGAGCAGAATACGAAAAGATGGAGGGAAAAGAAGAAGAAAAGAAAAAAGCCTAAATTTTCTTCTTTGCTTAACTTCAGTGTGAAGTTTTTTCTTCAACCCGAACTCTGACTGACCGTAGTCGTCGTCCTCCTCTTCTTCCTCCAGTGCGCCGTCTTCCTTCTCCTGCTCCTCCTGCAGACGATTTTGGATGAGTCGTTCCTGGTAGGAGTTGAGGAGCAGATTGGCGAGTCCTCCTGTACCTTGCCCCGGCTCCCCGGGTCCTCCCTGTGCACCATCCAGCATGGCCTCCTGGGAGCGCTGTAGCACCTGCAGCATTCATGAAGGTAATTAGAAAAATACTCTGAAATATACAAAAACATAATCACATATAAAACGCAAGATAAACAGAACTCACCTCTTCATCTGTCAGGTACTGGCCGATATACTGTTCGTACAGCAGCGGCTCCCTCATTCGCATCTGTTCTTCACTGAAGTACTGGCCGTCTAGAAGAGGAGGCATGGCACAAAAAGAAACAAAAAATAAAACCAGGCCGATGGCGAGTTAGAGAAAAAAACAGAAGTTGGTGGGTTGGCAACAAGTATCTCAGGTGACACTATCAAAGACTAAAGCTATCTGCACAAATGCTGCATGGGTCCACTGTATCATTAACTGCTGCTGCCCCTACCCTTCTGCAGAGCCCTGAGGGCAGCATAGCGCTGATTCCTGACTCTGGTCCTGTCGGTGCGTCCTGCAGCCCGTCTCTGTATCACCTTGCTGTAGTGCTGTGCTCGTGGGTCTGAGCTGACATGTGCAAATGCTGAGAGATGCTGAGGCTTCAGGCAAGCCTGGAAATTGTAAGATGAAAAACAAAATATAATAATGGAATTCTTCACTTCTTTACCAACACCACAATATTTAGTTAACAATGTATTTTGAAACTGGATTTTTTGCAGACCTGTAATGTAAATGTTCCTGTCTGTAAAGAACTTTTGGGTCATCTTTTCATTTCTAAACAATAATAACAGTTTATTCAACACAATTCAGTGCTCTGCAAACTAAACTCAGAGGACAGAAGTATCAGTCGTATCGCACTAGTACCAACCCAATACCAATGCCAGCGCTGGTATCAAAATGATATTTAGATCGATAGGCCCACCTCTGCAGTTGGGCTCAGAGGAAGATTTAGTACTTAAAAAAATATATATATATAGCTCAACAACCATCAGCCAATGCTGTACTCTGCAAAATATACAAGGAATTTGTTCCCACTGAAAGTGAAAACAAGACACAGTTCTTTCACTCCTTAAGGCAAAAACAAAGCTAAGTACAGCCAGGCTAAGGAGGAGGAGATGCTAACAGCTGATGATGTGTGACCCAAATGTCAACAAACGACTCCACTGTGTCATTTGAGCACTCGCTGGTTGCACTCCATATGACAGGAACACTAAAAGGGATGTGGGAATTACTGACACTAGCACTAACTAGGCTACTTTTGTGCTTAAATTTGATTCATGCTCTGTCACTACTATTGTACTACAATGCTGGCACCTTGTTCCAACAGAGTAACACATTAAGTGATAAAGAGTGCCATCAATGGCAGCACGTCACTGGGAAAGAAGTTTGCCTTGATTTACTTATGAATGTCATTGCCTCTACGCATCTATATTGGGCGATGTTGCCCTTCACTAACACACACACACGTTGAACTGTGGGCACATACATGGTACCTCTCCAGGAACACCAGCGGCCTGCTGCGGTACTGATGCAGCAGCTCCTCTCTGCGCTCCTGCACGGTCAGCTCAGCCTCTCCGATCTGCTGGCTCTTCACCAAGACGCCGCTCACAGCTATGGCCTCCATCATGGCATTCACACAGCTGGACTCGCTCAGGTTTATATTCTGTATGATGAGCAGAAAGAGTAAATCAGCGAGGCGTCATAATGGCAGACCGCATATGACACTGTGGTTGAAAAGAAAAAACAAACAAACGCTGTTGTCGCTGATTGCTTCACCTGGATGTCCTGCACCACCCGCTGTGTGTCTTCAGAGCTGCTGGAGTCACATCTCCGTCTCCGTGGCAGTATTATCTCTTCTATTTTCCTCTCGTCTTCAGTCTCACACAAGCTTGGCTGTGCTTTAACAGGAGGGTCGATCTCTCCCCACATCATTAACCGCGGTGTCACTTAGCCACCGTCTTCCCAGGAGCTAACGATGGTTCACTAAGAAAAGCTCAGCCTACTGCCAACTTCCCCTGTTTGTTTCTTTCAAACGACCAATTAGTTTTTACAATTTAATGTAAAACCTCTTGGATGAGAAAATCTCTTTCATGGAAACCTCGCGTGTTATTTTACCTTTCACTTATTTTGTATAACGTTTCATCGCCATAACGGTCCGTCACTTTTGTGTGTCCCCTTTTCTCTGTGCAACCGAAAGAATTGTTCCACAGCCTTTTCTTTGATATGTATATGTCGCCACCTTGTGACAGACTTTAATACTTATAATTTTTTCCAAGATAGAGAAATATTTTAGAAATAAATATTAAACATAAATTGCACATGGGTCACCTCAGGTTTCTTTTTTATTCTTTTATCAATTATTGCTTACATATCATACTGTGGTGTTTAATCACTGTATAGTCTATTATTTTAAATCTATGAAATCTATGATTTCAAATAATATGTTAGGTGATATGACCAGTATTTTTCCAAATATTATCAAGGTCAGGTTGAAATGTTTTCACCTTGAGGCTCTGTGCATGGCTTTGTCTTGGTTGAACTGCTCTTCAGCAAGACAATGAACCCTAAACTGCTTCTGTGTGCAAGGACTGTTCAGCTTTAGAGAGATAAGTGATAGGTCACAGCTGTCCTCTGTCTGAGAGCCACTCTGGAGAGTAAGAGCCTCTTCTTACTCTCCAGACTTTCAGGTGTGACTGTGAAGCATGAAAATCGAAGAAGGGAGAAAAAGAAGAGGAGGTACAGCAGGATTTGGCATTCAAGGCCAGTCTTTGAAAACAAACAAACAAACAAAGCTGCTCTTGTAATGGAAATGATGCGTCTTGTGGTCAGGGTTGGAATTACTATGTTGTATTTTTGCATAAGTACATTTTACTATTAAGAGCTGTTGGATGGATTCATGGTTTCACCTTTGCTGCAACGTCTGAGGGCTGGTAGATGTACATCTTGTTGTGGTAGAACTGAGGAACAAATATGAATTTACTTTAACACTAAATGTGTATTATGCCATTTCTCCAACTAGTAATACTAAGTAAAATAAAATAAAATCAAGGTCGATTGCTGCTGCTATTTGGGTTAAGAGTGAACATTCTTTTTTTTTTAATTGGTGAATGCTATGAGATAATGCTTGCAGAGGTTTTCTCTGTGTTTGACTAAAACTTCTTGTGGAATTCATTTAAAATAAACTGTTGTATGAAGTATGTCTGTGAAGGTTCTCAGTCATCCAGGTCATCGTAGTCAAAGGAGCTTGCAAAGAAAAGCATCTGGACTTCTTTAAGTTGCTTGAAGACGTTTCACCTCTCATCCGAGAAGCATCTTCAGTTCTAAGGTCAAATGGTGGAGAGTCCCAGATATAAACCTAGTGGGAGTTTCCCCCCACAGAGGGACAAAAGGACCCCCTGATGATCCTCTAATCGCCTGAGCCAAGGTGTGAAATTGGGTGTGGGACCCAATCAGCCAGAGTTTCGGGTGTGTTCATTGTGAAACCTGGCCCCACCTTATCATGCGAATTCCTGAGGTCAGATGGCCCAGGATGTGAGTAGGCGTTAAGGCGTCTGGGAAGGGATCTCAAAACTGGATTATAGATGGCAGAGAGTTGGTGTCGTAAACCCCCGGCTCTGTTCAAAGATGGTCGCTCACAGTGGACATAGATGGCTTCTTTCACTCCTCTTTCAAACCATCTGTCTTCTCTGTCCAAAATGTGAACATTGGCATCCTCGAAAGAGTGACCTTTATCCTTAAGATGCAGATGGACTGCTGAGTCTTGTCCTGTGGAGGTGGCTCTTCTGTGTTGTGCCATGCGCTTGTGAAGTGGCTGTTTGGTCTCTCCAATGTAGAGGTCTGGGCATTCCTCGCTGCACTGTACAGCATACACCACATCCTGGGCCATCTGACCTCAGGAATTCGCATGATAAGGTGGGGCCAGGTTTCACAATGAACACACCCGAAACTCTGGCTGATTGGGTCCCACACCCAATTTCACACCTTGGCTCAGGCGATTAGAGGATCATCAGGGGGTCCTTTTGTCCCTCTGTGGGGGGAAACTCCCACTAGGTTTATATCTGGGACTCTCCACCATTTGACCTTAGAACTGAAGAAGCTTCTCGGATGAGAGGTGAAACGTCTTCAAGCAACTTAAAGAAGTCCAGACGCTTTTCTTTGCAAGCTCCTTTGACTGTTGTATGAAGTGCACCTCCAACTTTATTCCATTGGTGGTGCTGGAGTTCTTGAGCCATGGGCATAAAACTTAGTGGAAAGTATCAGAGGGTTATCATCAACCAGATTTCAAAATATTTTAGCATGCAGTTTTCAGATCAACCATATACTTCAATGGCAGGAGAACATGAGGGAGATGATTAAAGAAAAAGAATCAGCGTGGATAATGTTTAACCCATAGTATCATCTTCTTCTCTAGCCTTGTTTTGGTGTTTCAGAGGTGTTACAGTGAGCTCACAGTAATCTGACACAGCTGTTCAAATGACTGTACTATTTAGACAGGAGTATGCTGCGGGCCCCTTTTCAAAATGGCACGTCTCCACCCGCTGGACAGCAGATGTACTACAACTCTCATTTCTGCAAGATAGAAACAAATACGAATCTATGGTGTCTGGTTAATGAACACACACTGTTCTCTCTAGACAAGTGTTACTCTCCATCAAGTCCCATTTTTAAAGCTCTACAGCACATGTATGTGTGTGTCTGTAATCCCAGCACCTGTGATAAAGAGGTCCTGCGTATATTGATGTGGCCAGCTGGTCCTGCTATTTAAACCCATGGCAGAGAGTAAGGGAGTTTAGAGGAAAGAGAGATGTAATATCAGAGGAGGCGTGGGGGAGATATGAGGGCTGAGTGTTGACAGAGGAAAAGGGTTAAACTTAGGGGCCAAGAAAAGAGCAAATCACTTTATGAGTATTTCATTATATCGATCTGTATTTACAGCACTATAGCTGCAGGCATTATACATTAGACTGGTATGTTAGAGAAAAGTGAAAGAAATGAGGTGAAATAGACCATCCACACAACCTTAAAAAAAAATCACAAAAAATTATGTGCTGACTAAAATATGGAAAGCAAACCGGTGAGCATAAAATGATCGGAACCCAAAGTGCAGTTTTCACTGTGATAGAACTTTGTGCATCTTTCTGAGCTGTCAAAGCAAGGTCCCATTATTGTGAATAGTTTGCAAAAAAACCCTGAGCCTCTAATTCATTCTGTTTGCTTTCCATGCAGACTTCAGGTTGACTGACACGTGAATCAATAGTTAATAACTGTATTTTGGTTTTGCAGTCAATTATTTCTCAGGGGGGCCCAAAGGGAGAGAAAGAAAGATACAGATAAACGTGCCAAAAATGGATACCACTGAGTCAACAGCTAATTAAAATTGTAATTGCTCAGTTACTTTCTTACAGGAGACAATGGAGTCTTTATTTGGAAAGCAGAAATAAATAGAAGGCAGAAGTGGTTATGGTACAGTCATAATAACATAACAGTACCACCAGGGGGAAGAGCAGCAGTCTGGATGATGAAAATATAGAAGAGGTTGATTTATGTGCGTAGTATAGTTTAGGTTTCAAAG